ATTATAATTTATGTATATATTACAATTTACAAATAGGTTGTAAATTTACAAATGACAAAGGAACATTACACTGGTCTCATACTGAGCCTCTAATGCAAATGGGGGTTAATATTTAAAAAGTCACAAGTATAAGTGAAAATGAAAATTTTGAAATACTTACTGAATTGGGTATCATTGGAACTGAATTGAATTTCTGAATTCAAATCAATTTACAGAATCGAAAAATATTGAAATTTGACTGATTAAGGTCAAAAAAGACTATTATGAAATTCATTCAAAGACAAAATCTATTTTTGACCATAACTTGCTTAATTTTCAATATTTTTCAATTCTGTAAATTGTTTTCAAGCTGGTTCAATGGATATCCATATTAGTGAGATTGTCAAATTTTTCATTTTCGCTAACACTAGTGATTTTTTATCATTAAACCCTATTAATATTCTTAGCAGAATACTGTTTTGCTTCTGTAAAATTGTTTTAGAAAAGTTTCACAGTTCGTGCTAATTTAGCATATTTATTATTGCTTTTGAAATAAGTTATTACACAATGCTAATTGTTAACATAGACAATCAAAAGGTCTCCACTCAAAATGGGCTACCCTGTATACTTGATAAGTGACTTTAGCTGCATGCTGTACAACAGTACAAACAAAATGGCCGTTTTACACTTTTTTCTAGTAAATTCCTCTCTATATATTCTATTCTCTATGAGAAGTTGTTTTCAGAATTCCATTATTGTTGCATGACTTTAAGCCAAATTGATACAGAGGGTACAAATAAACAGGATACAGAGGGTTCAAATAAACATGATCCAGAGAATTCAAATAAACATGATTCATAGGGTTGAAATAAACATGGAACAGAGGGTTCAAATAAATATGATATAGAGGGTTCAAATAAACATGATACAGAGGGTTCAAATAAACATGATACAGAGGGTTCAAATAAACATATGATACAGAGAATTTAAATAAACATGATTCAGAGGTTTGAAATAAACATGGAACAGAGGGTTGAAATAAACATGATACAGAGGGTTCAAATAAACATGATACAGAGAATTCAAATAAACATGATTCAGAGGGTTGAAATAAACATGGAACAGAGGGTTGAAATAAATATGATACAGAGGGTTCAAATAAACATGATACAGAGGGTTCAAATAAACATGATACAGAGGGTTGAAATAAACATGGAACAGAGGGTTGAAATAAATATGATACAGAGGGTTCAAATAAACATGATACAGAGGGTTCAAATAACACATGATACAGAGGGTTCAAATAAACAGAATACAGAGGGTTCAAATAAACATGATACAGAGGGTTTAAATAAACATGATACAGAGAATTCAAATAAACATGATTCAGAGGGTTGAAATAAATATGATACAGAGGGTTCAAATAAACATGATACAGAGGGGTTCAAATAATTATGATACAGAGGTTCAAATAAACTTGATTCAGGGGTTTAAATAAGCATGATACAGAGTGTTCAAATAAACATGACACAGAGGGCTAAAATAAACATGATACACCCGCCTAACCAGGGTTGGTTATTTTGAGTGGTTGGCCCGAACTTAATTAACGATATGAGATCAGGAAAATTTTAATGTAGAGATAAATTAAAATACAGGATGTTAATGATGGAAGACACAGAAACAGAAATAAGCTATTTTACTTTTTTTATAAAATTTATTCACACAATTAGGTTTTTTACATTTAAACCTTTCATAATCTCAAGATAAATATTGATTACTAGACTCGTTGTTTAAATATTTTTGCAGATTTAGTTTCTTTAAGGTCAATTTCAATTGCATTTCACAATTTAGGAAACATTGCGGACGGAAAGCTTTCTAAATTTTTGTTTAAAATATGATGGATATTATACATAAATTAGCACCCAGCTATATAAAGCTATTGGATAACATATACCATGTATTTCAGGACTACTTATTTATATTTTCAAACATTTTTTTAAATTTTAATTCCAGTTAAAAACTTTGACTTTCAACATAGAAATTTTAATTACGTTTCTATAAATTACACATAACCCTGTATAGCTGCGAGCGGAAGACTTTGACAGCTTGGGAAAATACGAAAGACAGCTTTAAATTCAAATTCAATGCAACATTGTATGAATTATTCCGATGTCTTCCTTTATAATAGTAAATTATAATACTTGATAATTGGTTTTATAGAAAATTCATTCCTCATTACTAAGCTCATAGATTAATAACAACACAGATAGAACACTAGATGTTGTCTTTTCAAGATTTAGGGGTTTTTCGTTCACAATAACCCTAGGCAGACGCCCAAAGGAGTTACTCGCATTCTGCGTAGAATTACAAGATAGAGAGAGAGCCTGTTCTACCGCATTCGTATAACTCCTTTGGGCTTCTGAGTCAGGGTTATGGTGAACGAAAAACCCCTAATTCTTAAAAAGATTACATCTAGTGTTATATCTTTATTGTTATTAATCTATGCTTCAGCTGCTAAAGTTTGTTCTGGTCCAGTTATTGGAAACAGATAATTATTCAGAAATTTTCAACTTTTTAATTTTACCAATAAATGGACACCATCCTTGGTGTGTGATAAAATTGTTATGTAAAATAAAAAAATTAAACTGTCTTCCCGTGTTTTTGATTTGATTGGACCTTATAAATTTTAAAACTTGAAATTTGAAATTATTGGTAAACATACTGTTTAGTTTTTACTTACACCCGTTTTACCGTTTTCCAATTCTCCAATTAGTCTATTAAATGCTCAACATGGACAACATGATTAAGCTAATATCATGTAAAAGAAAAACTGAATATTTTAAGGAACTCCACCTTGAATTTGTATGCTATTTAAGTAAACTGTTGAATAAAAACCTTTTAACCCTATCATAAAAGGGTATTTTTTCGAAATGACTGAAGAAAGGCTGACATTAAAAGGCTGAAACTTCTTCACTTTTTCAACATCATAGTTGTGAACAAATATTGCCAAATGTTTTTTGGAGGACTTTTACACGGCAGTTTGGTGTTGAATAAAATCATAAATGGTCAACAACTTTTTATTGATTAAGCTACAGGGCTAAACTTTATAGATTTGAAAAACCCTTGAAAAATGGATGTAATAACACACAGAACTTACTGTGCCATGAGGCAGGAGAAATCCAGAAATAAAAATCCTGGTTTTCTTTGTTAAATTATATGGTGGTTGTACTGTGAATATTGTATATGTTACAATTTTGTTAATTTTTTTCCCTGCTAAAGCTTGATTTAAGAAAGGTATTTTTGATAGACCAAAATATTTTCCTATTTGTCATACTTCATAATTGTGGTGTGAACATTTCTTGATATGTTTATACAATCAAGGGGGACTACTCAAGGTTATATTTACTGGAATATGTATTGGTATAACAATGAGGCAGGGATACAATACTGCAAGTAAATATATGGGAAGCCCAATGTCAACTCAAGTTCAGGAGATTGCTTTACAGGGTAATAATATAGCTCAAGATCAAACTAAATTTATTCTTTAAATTTATTAATATTGCAAGAATCATGCTTTGTTGACTTTGATTTTGTGTATAGAAGCAGTGCCAGATCTCATGCTATCTTTATGTAAGAGATTTGATGTTGAACAATATCTATATAATACAACAGGAATGTACTTTTTCTTATCTTTCTTATCTTTTAATTTTGAAATAATAGGTTTTTTTTCATAGATAATCAAACACATTGTTACACAGCGAAAGAGGTAAAATTCACACCTTTAAAAATGAACAACAGGAATATTTCTGTGCTTCAAACTTAATTGTATATTTAGAATAACTCTTGTGGACTAGATGAGAATTCCAGATCAGGTTTACTAAAACAGCTTGTAGCTGAGACAGGAATCAAATTCAAGATCTCTGATATATTACTACAGTTTGATGGAGTATTGAGCAACAGCACAGATTGGAGTTCACAGTTGCAGAGGAAATCTGATGAATTAATGTTCAGGTATGAGGCCGAATTTAAAGAATTTGACCCGTGGTTTAAATTTAAGCTGGTTTCACTTAAATTTGAATTCAATTTTTCAAGATTTAAGCTGGCGCTCGATTGAACCCAGTTTTTTTGAGATTTGAGACATGGAATAAATTCATTAAATTTGGACAATGGGCACATTTAGAAGGGTCCTTACTTTATAGAACAACTTATTCTGACAACCTGCCCTCAACACATGACATGAATAAGAGGAATCACATACTCATCTCCTAACTTCTTAAAGGGACTGAAAGCCTAAAAGTCAAGTGACTCTCATTGCAAGAATGGCAATGCCTGATTTACAATGCTACCAATGAAACCTTAATCTGATCTAAAATGTGAACGATACTGTTGTTTTTTTGACTTGAAAAATGTTTATTTCCATAAATTTCTCTTTCGCTTCTTATAAACAAGACCACTTTTGCAGAGATCCCACACATGAAAATAAACAGTTTCAAGAAACAAAAACATGGATATCTAATTCATTCTTAATCAGACAAAGCTGTGAAGGTTATAATTGTAAATTGGGTATTGTCATCTTTGTATGGATGATTACTTAAAATTATGCTTACAATTCTACACCAACCCCATTGTTTCTTTAACATTGTTAATAAGATCTAAGCATTGTCTTGAATTCATATGTGACTCCCAAATCTATGGTGTTTTCCTTGAATATAGCTCTTACTTGTGTTTGTGCCCTTGAATACTACTAATGAGAAATGGATTACAATCTTAAAATGCAATGTAAAACCATATGAATATTTTTCCATAATGTTAGATTTGTAATTTATCCAAAATATAACCACAAACTTAAAAAAATAAAGACATAAAGAATGTAAAAAAAATCTGAGTGTCAGGCAAAGTTTTAATTCAATAGTTCCAAAGTAATTTTCTTTTTTTTTCTAGACTAAAGATGTACCCCTATGTAGATAATAATACATTGCTTTGTCATACATGGAATGAAAATATATCACAGTTTTCAAAACTACGCATTAATCCTTCTAAAAACACAGGTACGTTTATACACCCTTTTCCATATTAACAATTTTAGCTCTTAATTGTTGTTTCATTTAAAAAGGGGCTAAATGTTCCAATTTTTGGGTATTGGTGCATTTTCAAAAAATGATAAATGTCTTAATTTTTTCCTAGATAATTTTTCAATTTTTTGCGTGCATAAACCTTCCCCATGGGTCATGTGAGTTGCCATAACATTTGGGCCTGAAAGGTTTTGCCGTTTAATTAGTTCTAACCCCCAGACATTCAAAGTATATATATTCACTGTAGCGAAGAAGAACCTATGCATTAAGCAGAAATATGTTTTTTATAAACATGTAGAATTTAGATCTTGTAGATATTTGAATTAAAATAGGTATTAATTTAATAAAAGATATGTACATACAGTTTTAAAGGACTGAGAAAAATTAAAACAAAACAAAAAATTAATGGAAGTGTATATTAAGAAATACGGAAAAAAACACTTGATCTCAATTGGTTAATGACTGTAAAGAACCATTCATTACGCAACAAATGCTATTTACAAAAATAGAATTTTCTACAGTAAAACTCTTAATGTTTAGAAGAAGTTTATTTATACATTCACAAGAGAGGACAACTTCTGCTGACAGATCTCAGAAATGAACTGCTAGAAATTGAAAGTATTGATCACATTGCTGAAATTGAATTAGATGTTAATGTCAAGAAACTGATGTCAACACCAAGCACAAAGTGTAAAGAAGGTCTTAAAACCTTTGATTCTTGTGTTGAAAATGCAGTACTTCATCATCTTCAGGATCAATGTCAACTTTCTTCAACAGATAGCCCATTCTGCTTTAACTCTTCAGGGGTTTTAAAAGCAATAAATGTAATCCAATCAAGTTTAAACAAATGTATTCACCCTTGTACTCAAGTAAAAGTAAACATGGTACTGAACCCTGTAAACTGGCTAAATGTATTCATAAATCCAATAAAATCCAAAAAGCAATTTATCCCAGGGTATTGGATCAATATTCCATCATCTGTTCTTTATTCGGAAATGAATGAAAGTTATGCTTTAATTTCCTTTATCGCTGAATTTGGAGGATGGGTTGGACTTCTTCTTGGTGTCTCAATACTTGGAGGCTTTGAATTTGTAGAAAACCAGATCTGTTCCATGACTTGTGGTTTTAGAAAAGTAATCTTATCTAAGAGCGGATTAATCTTAAGAATGGCATGTTCACTTGGAGTTCTTATCATAGTGGTACAATGTGGAATCAAACTCTTAAGAGCTGAAAAATCAATGGATGTACATATAGTTGAAAATCTCAGTAATTTAAGCATATCACTTTGTTCTGTTGAGAATATTTATAAAATACGTCCAAATGATTCTATTTATTATTATATGGGTAATACCACATCATTTTGGAATAATATAACAAAGCTAAGTGACAAGTTAGAAAGGATGGAAATAGTATTAGCAGAAGGGAATTCTGTCACTATCTTTAATTCATCATGGGATCATGGTTCTGAGTATATTTTATATTCCATCAACACACCACAGTTTGATACCTTTATTGAGACTTGTCATACACTGGATCTGAAACACTGGAATAGAATCAAGAGAATGGGAATTATAGCAAAGAAAGAATTAACAACATATATTCATATCACAGGCCAGCTTCTTAGATCAGGAAGACAGGGATTCAGTTTCATAAACAAAGATACAACCTTTGTATATTGGTAAGATACATACTTTGAAATAAAGAATCATGAGATTTTTCTGCTATTTGAAAGAAAATAATTTTCATGTTCAAAATTAACAATTATCATAATAGATTTTCTAAACTTAGAATACATAATTGAACAAAATTATTTGATAGATATTCTACTCATAACTTGGCATCTTTAGGAATGGTGTTGGAGTAGTTAAATATTCATCACATGTCTTTCATCTTGACATTTTGAACCAAAAAAGGATCTTTGAGGATGGATATGATGAATACTACTCCTATGATGACTGTATTCTGGATAAAGTAGCAATGAACCTTCCTCTAAAGGACATCTTAAAATCTGAGGAAAATAAGACAATCTTTAAAGGCATTGATGAATCAATTTTTAAAAATGTTTCAAAGCAGTTGGAAAATATAAAAAAACTTGGAGATTGTAATGCCCCAAATTTAAAGCTCAAGACAAACTTTATTCTCACAGTCCAAAATCATTTAAATTTAGCTTGGATAGGTAGTACTCCTACTTTTAAGTTTGATCTGGAATTTCCCCAATCAGCAATCGTAAAAGAGGTAAACTACAACTATAAATTTATTTACAGTTAGTAGATGCTGAGTAGCACTAGTGGGTAGCCTATTCAATCTGTTATTTTAGACTTTATTTTGGCTTTCAGGAGGCATTAAAGCAATCTATGACTCTACAAGTTTTCATTTAATAACTTTTGTACAAATACAATTTTATGATAAACTTCATAGTTTTTTTTGGATACACCTTAAAACTAAACAAAAAACATTAGTAATTAAAATTAGGAATCAACTAAGCCGTGTCAAGTCCTATTTACAGTTTATGAAATGCACTAGTTCCGATGAATGTTTAAAATTTTCTACTGTTGTTTGACTGAAAATTTGCCACAAATTCTAAATTTCTTATGCCTTCAATCTTCATAGCATTTACCTTTGATATTTTAAACTTTTGGGTTGCAAAAGATCTAAAATAAAAAAAAATAAAATTTGTGGCAAAAATATTTATTTTCCTTGTAAGGGCCATTACCAAAGAATATTTATTTTTCCTGGTGAACATACGACACATTGTTAACCAGCACAGTATGACATTTATTAAAAGGTTTTTATATCATATGGGATGATTTCACTAATTGGAGAAGTAGGAGGATGGACAGGGATACTACTAGGATACAGGTTCATTAAAACTAATTATTCAGCAAAGTTCTCTAAAAATATTAATCTTGTGTTTAGTCTTTTAGGTTTTGCATATTCAATCAGGGGAAAAATTGGCCAAAGGTTTGGACTTAGGATATTTATTTGTATTGTTATTGGAATATCTTCTGCTATGATCTACCAGCTTACACTCTCAACACAGAAGCTACAGAGTAACCTGACAGGAACTAAAGTAGAATACATGGAAACAGATCCTAATCTTAACATTTCAATAACAATCTGTAATAACTTTTTTTACTGGCCTCAGAAGAATATTACAGAACTTGATGAATTTGACTCCATATCTCATAGAGGCAAGGCAGATTCTGATTGGATTGAATGTAAAGATACTATTTCAGAGATGTTTAGATGGAAGGAAGAACAACGAACTGTTTATCTGTGTAAAACAAAGAATTTTACTGGAGAAGAGGTTAAAATAGTTCATAGTCTTTTACCCGAGGATGCTATATTTCTTCATGATCCCAGCTTTATCACTGGTGGAACTTCTTTAAAGATTGCAGGAGAAAAGCTGGATGAGAACAAAATTCTTCTTTTAAACGCTAAAAAGATTCAAAATATTGAAGAAGAACATGTTTGTTCAAATTTAATTGAATATGATTCCTGCAGAGATGATTATTTAGCACAAGAGTTTAACAAAACATTTGGATGCATCGACTTTCATATGAAGTAAGAGTACACAAATACTTTATTCTCTAAGATTATATCAGAACAGCATACTTATTTTGCTACACTTATGAAAGAAGTTTCTTCAATAATTGAATGGCATTATTCAATTACCTATTGACTAAATCCAAAACAAATATGAATTTGACTCCTACTACTAATATGACTATTATATATAGGGTTAATATGGAGGAAATGATTAACAAAGCTTTATAATTAAAATAAGACCATAAGTTCATAGAAATTTAGTAAGTTTCAGTATACTATTACATATGAAGGAAAAATGAATCAATGCAACTACTCATTTGATTTAATATTCGACGAGTCGGTTTTTCTTACAATTTATTATTATTTACAACGATACAAAACTATAGGAAAATACTATACGAATCAATGAATTGAGAATGGTTCAGAGTGATGGGAGATCTTCAGGGGAACCTATTAACTAGGGAGCTGGTCTTCAACTGCCTATTTTCCCCAGATTTCACTCCATCCTAGGCTAGAGCTTTAACCCTAGTTCTCCAGGAGCTGGCCGGCCATCCCCCCAGCACCTGGGCCTCTGGAATAACGGAACTATCTGCGTGGCTTGGGTTTTTCCGCGTGGCTTGGGTTATATATAGAATTCACACACAAACACGAATAAATCCGTTAGATCTGTACAAGGGATGGAAAAGGGGGGGGGGTGATGATACCCCTAGGTAGCTATGATCTCAGCGATCTAAAAATCCTTGAATCGCTGATCGTGAAAGATCAACAAGATCACACATTGTTACATCCCCTCCATGATCTTTTATGATCAGCGATCTTGTCGATCACTATCTAAGGATAAGATGAAACTATTGCACTCTTGAAGCGTCTTTTATCCATCCTTCTCCAGGTTGTGGGGTTTAGTGGAGAACTACCCGTGCTCTATCCTTGAGCTTGTAGCCAGTCTTGCTGAGTCGAAATAATGTCTTTACTACCCAGCAACTGAAGGTAAGAGCTACAACTGCTCCGACCCCATCCATAGCTTGACTGAGGAGGTGCAGGGTCAGAGCTACGGTTGTTGAAACAAAATAACCATAGCTTCCTTGCAAACTCCACTCTCTCTCTCTTTCCGAGAACTTCGGTTTACTGAAACCTCGTATGCTGTCCGGGGCTATCCCTGCGAGGCTGTCCTCCGTGCTGGCTTGCCCTACTAGTACTGCCAGCATGCCCACGAAGAGCAACTGGTTTACTCTCGTACTCCTCCCTCTGTGGCGCTGGTCTGCCTGCTCTCGCATTTCACCAACAGGCTGATCAACTTCCCCACGCTCTCTCCTTTCTTCACCTGAACAAAGATATCATTATTATGGTTAATCATGTAGATTGCAGGTGAACGTAACACTCCTGCCCTGGGGGAAAATTTTGATGCAAAAAGATTTTTCTCAATGATAGTGTTAAACAAGATTGGAAAAATGAATTCATCCCCATTGACTTGTCCTGGATTTTCTTCTAAATAAACCCATGCCCCTTGCCCAGGGTGAAGTGTTACAGAATCTTTCACTTTTGCAATTCTAGATTTTTGACCTGAAATTGTATTAAATCCTTCCTTAACTTTATTGCTACTTCTATCTGCTTCATCTTCTGTGTCACTCCAACTACTTTCATCTGCTCCTTGCACATAACTACTTTGATCTGCTACCTTATACCTAGTCCTGACACTACTTCTTATGCTACCACTACTTTTAATACTCCCTGTCTGCACCCTTTCTAAGGATGCAGCTCTTGTCCTGATGGAGTTAGAACTCTCTCTTGATCTGCTCCTTCTTCTCAGCGGTGCTGTAGAATCTGGCCTCTGTGCCCAGCTCTCCTTGAGTGCTGCTTTCAGTGACTTCAAGGACGGAGCTATTGACGATCTTGTTCCTTTCTTGGATCTGGGGTTTGCCGGTAGTTTGAACTCCGCGCTGTATCTATCTGTAGGGATTGATCTCCTGCTGGATCTTCTCCTGGTATCTTCAGGAGTAGTGCTGCCAACTAACGGCCTTAGTTCTTCATCATTGGTAGTAGAGTTTGCTGCTTCATCAACCTGGCGACGGGGGTATTTATTCCTTCTGTTATTTCCTCTCCATCTCTGGTTTCCTGTTCTCCTTGTACTCCGGTAGGGGTGTTTATTCCTGTAGGTTCATCATCTCTCCCTTCTGGTTCACTGCTAGTTCCTGTCTCTGGTTTTCTTGGTTCCGGAGTTTTGACTGGCTCTGGTTCCGGGACGAATTGGTGGACAAATGTTGGGTTGCATTGTAGGCCAAAATTAAGGTTGGGAGGGATTTTTCCCAGTCATTTTCCCCATTTGCTTTCTTTGCTTTCAAAAGTGCCCACACAGTTCTATGAAATCTCTCAACAGGGTTAGACTGATGATTGTGGCTAAAACAAATTTTAATATTAACATCTAAAGCATTGAGAAGATTTTTTAACAGTGCATTATCAAACTCTTTTCCTTGATCCATCCTAATTGTTGCAGGTGCTCCGTACAGGCTAATCCAGTTTGTCATGATCGCGTTCACAACAGACCGAGCTGATTTGTCTGGCAGAGGCACTGCTGCAACATATCTAGAAAATTGATCCATTATAGACAAAATATATTTGTTTTTGTTACTTGACATTGTAATAGGACCTACCAGATCAACGCAAATTACTTCATTTACGTTGATTACTCGTCCATCGTATGGATCTACCTGCTTTAGGTTAACCTGTTCTCTGTGTAGACAGCCAGGGCACTCTGTTACAAACTCTGCTGTGTCAGCTCTCCATCCTGGCCAGAAAAAATGTTCTTTTACCTGTTGTGTAGTACGTTGTACACCCCAATGTTCATGAACATGTACAGCTAAGAGAGCTTGATACCTGTGCGAGGGTGGGATGACAATTCTCATCCGAGGATTTGAGTCAAATTCATTTTCAAGGAGGTACACTAACCTGGTAGAATTTGTTGTGTTTGCGTCGGTCAACCTGAGCTGTTTTCTTACCATGTACAGTTGCAGTACATCCTCATGAACTTCGTCGAAAACTGAAGTGTTAATTTTCTTTTCATCAGCTTTACCTGTATTTAAGTTGAACCAAGATTTTACCATGAGTAGAGCACTGTCTTCGTTTTGTGCTTTCTCTAGGTCCACCTGATCAATTAGGATTTTACCTTTAAAAGTTCCTATCAAGGGGGGACCACTCCCTTCATCTGCTGGGGTCCCTGACAGGTGCCAAGGTGGTTGAACTATGGTACATATCTTACCTGTACATGAGGGGGGTAGATATTCTAAAGTAGGACAATTGTTCATTTTTGACATGCTTACCTGGTTCATCTCAATTAAATTCGGCTTTTCACCAACTTTTAACTGTGTCCAGGGCAGGGGGAACATGTCTTGGTTACCTTGTGTAATTGAATCTTTATCAGAGGGGGGGGGGGGGTCATCCATATGTGTGGCTCTGGAGATCAAATCGGCATTAATATTTGTTTTACCTGCACGATGCATTACTGTAAAATTAAATTGTTGTATATAATCTAGCCATCGCCTGATAGTTCCACCCAAGTCCTTCATGGTTGACCAGTGAAGCACCGTTGTGGAGTCCGTCACGACAATGAACTGATTCAACCTTAACAATGATTCAAATTTAGTTAACCCAAAGGTCAAAGCGAGGAGTTCCCCTTTAGAACTATGGTAATTACTTTCGTAATTTCTGCATTTCCGCCCTTTAACACCTAGAAATTTTTCAATATCATCTTGTTCCTGGGATAAAACTGCACCAATTGCAGTTTTAGAGAAATCTATTGTTAAAATAAAGGGTTTAGCGGTTGGAGAGAAGTCTGGCGTGGCTCTAAACGGGGCTGCTGCAAACATCTGTTTTAAAGTGTTAAAATTATTAATCATCTCTGGAGTCCATACAACCAACCTATTATTTTTAACACTATTTAGTTCAGCCGTAACATTCGCGAAACCTGGTAAAAAATCACGATAATAATTAGTAAAACCCAGGAATGCAGATAATTCTTTTCCAGTTTGGGGCAGCGGCCACTCAACAATTTTCTGAACATAAGATGGAATTAGTTTAACTCCTTCAGCGTTGACCAGATGACAGAGATATTCAACTTCTTCCTGAAATAAATGTGTTTTACTCACATTCAGCCTGATTCCTGCTTCTTTGTGCGCATCAAAAACTAATCTTAATAAATTAACATGAGTATCCAGATCCTCGGTATGTATCAGTACATCGTCTAAGTACGCGACTATCCCAGGTACTCCTAAAATATCAACCAGTCTCTGTACAAACCTACAATATGATGCTCCGGCATTCTTGAGCCCAAAGGGCATACGCAAGAACTGGTAAATACCGAATGCTGTTGCAAAAGCAGTTATTGGTCTGGAGCTCTCCTCTACCTCTATGGTATGATAGGCATTACTCGCGTCGAGTGTACTAAAGTACCTCGACTTACCTAGAGAATTTAAAATTTCAGAAATATTAGGGGTGGGGAAGCTGTCGGTCACGGTGAGGTCATTGACCCGGCGGAAATCTAAAACCCACCTCGTCTCCCCACTCTTCTTGGTCACGGGGACCAAGGGCGAGGACCAGGGAGATGAGCTGGGTTCTATGACTTCATTTTTTAACCATACATCAAGTTGCGCGCGCAAATTTTCTTTAAGATTTGGCGGAATTGGTCTCATTCTTTGGTTAACGGGCCGGGCATTAGGTATTAATTCAATTTTAAATTTTTCCCAGGTAGTTTTACCTACTTTACAGTCCTCAGTGGTAAAAATATCCTGGTTTTCATTTATCATTGAATATACCATATTTTTGACAGTAACGTTTTCTTGCAAAATTTTGTTCTCATTTAGTTTAAATTCTGCCCAAATTCTATCCGTGACCGCAGGATCCTTCACCCCTTTATTTACAACATTATTAACAGGTTTAGTTTTGTTCTCAGAAATCATAGAGCCATGGGCTATTAATTGATTGGGCTAAATAATAACGTCTTTATCAGACAAATTTGCATACATAATAATAAGTGACTTATCTTTTTGCTGGGTTTTATGACGGTAGACTACAGGTAGAGCACCATTAAGGAGTTCTTCATCAAGGGGTTGTACATTGATGAAAGAAGCGGGGTTTACTGGTACATGGACTTCTATTGCTCTTGTTGTTTGCTTAGGAATTTTTACAAAGTTTTTTGATGTCAACAGCATTACAGGTGCACCTTCATTATCAATAGCAAAGTCTTGAGGGGGGGGTTTCGAATAGGGGGGGGGGGGGTTTTCAAGAGATATTCTGGGTGTTCTAATGAGGGGTCTGGATCTGTGTGAGACATTTGCTATTAAATCCTGATACTCAGATGTAGTGCTGTGCACAACCTTCGCTTGTGATGGTTCTAAAACTGGGCTCAGACTGTTAGTTTTTAAAAAATTTACCCATATAATAACTGGCAGAGATAAATTTTTCAAAACAACAGCTGAACCTGAAAAGATTGTAGACAAATTTTTAAACCTAATCTTAACCTCTAACTGCCCTACTGTTTCCATCGTCGAATTTGAACTAGCCCCATTTGCTGAGTTTAAATCCGACGGTCACTAACATTACCTTGCAAATTGTTAACAAAAAAATACTCACTGATAGCGACGCCCGTAGGTATGAGGGCGCCAGTATCGATTAAAATTTTTGTATTTTCAAAATGGTTACCTGTAGAATCACTGTCCATTGATACAGCACCTTCTAGGAACGATGTGGCTTCAATCACATTTATTTCCGGACTTCGAAGGTTCTGGTTTTCCGGCACATACTTGAAATGCCCTTGAATATTATGATACTTGCTCTTGCACTTGACGCAAAACGTTTTCTGTCCGGATCTGGTACAATCAGCATGCTTGTGATTCTGGCCGCAGTAACGACATACTAAAATACTGCAGTCGCGCATGTAATGAGGCGCACCGCACTTGAAACAGACTGGAGTTCTAGCTTGCTTCTGCTGAATTGCATTTACATTCTGCTCGGGCTGTGACGATTTTACCCTCTGCTGGAATTGGATGACTGAGTCACACAGGGTTGTCCATTGGAACGGTACAGAAATCACGATGGACGCCGTCAACCTTGGAGTAGAAACCTTCACATATTTTCTTGAGCAGAAGAGACGCTTGCGACGTTGTCCATCCTGAGCTTGGCCCATAAGCCTCCTCCGCTGTGTCTCGAACTCTCTGCAAGTACGACTGAACCAATTCTGAACTCGCCTGACGGAAACCTTTGTATATGTCCATCATGGCTTGATCCCTGGAGACGGGGCTATGGACTACAGTAGTAATTAGTTGGAGCAGGTTCAGATAAGAGTAGGAATCTTTTTGAGCCTCTTGACCAACATCTAGCGCCAGAAGCCATTGTTTCAAGCTGGTGGAGCATGAATTGTAAATCACAGCTATCCTTCCCACCCTGCTTGATATGAAAAATTTATCAAACACATCAGAGAAATGCACAGACCAATGCTTGAGAGACTTTGTAGAGAAATCCTGCTGTTTTATGTTTTCCACAACTCGGGAGATGATTTTCGCTTCACCCTCAGTCAACTTGTCCCATGGCATAGGGGACACGGCTTCATCAATAACCAGGGTTTGGGTCTTAAGCAGCTGCTGAACTTTATATTTGTCATCTTCTTTCGCTAGATTGATTCTCGCCTCCGTAGATAGGGTGGTGGTTAACGACTTTTTAACCGACTCATCAAGGTCTGGAATTCGCTCTACCGCGCTTTCAAACTGTTCAATTTGGGAGGCCACTGGATCACGATAGGCCGGTAAAAACACCTCTCGTAACCAGCTTAGGAACCAATCGGGTCTACCCCCAGGTCTTGGTTGTTCAGGGGCGTCGTTCTCCATCCTAAGATATAAGAATGGAGTAGGGACGAATAATACGTTTGAACTGAAAAAACATTTTGTTTGTCTGTGTTTCTAACATTTTATCCTAACTCGCGTCTAACTAACTGCCGTCAATCTGTCGAAAAATATTAGAGCTTGATGAAAATATTTGCGCCATACTCATAAACTTATAAACGATTAAACAAATATAAAAATAATGTCGTTTTACCATAGAATTATTAGTTAAATGTTCACAATTTGAAAAGTAACGGGTAACTGTTGTGTAGGATGAGTTGGCGTCTATTTTCAATGCCGCATTCCACGCAAGCTCACTGATAGTACTCTAGCATTCCAGTTAGGGTGGACCAAAATGTTAGAAAACTATTTCGCCGAATATTATCAAAAACGAGTGTTGCTATTTGGGCTTCCAATTTTTGAACTTGTCACCATATTACATATGAAAGAAAAATGAATCAATGCAACTACTCATTTGATTTAATATTCGACGAGTCGGTTTTTCTTACAATTTATTATTATTTACAACGATACAAAACTATAGGAAAATACTATACGAATCAATGAATTGAGAATGGTTCAGAGTGATGGGAGATCTTCAGGGGAACCTATTAACTAGGGAGCTGGTCTTCAACTGCCTATTTTCCCCAGATTTCACTCCATCCTAGGCTAGAGCTTTAACCCTAGTTCTCCAGGAGCTGGCCGGCCATCCCCCCAGCACCCGGGCCTCTGGAATAACGGAACTATCGGCGTGGCTTGGGTTTTTCCGCGTGGCTTGGGTTATATATAGAATTCACACACAAACACGAATAAATCCGTTAGATCTGTACAAGGGATGGAAAAGGGGGGGGGGGTGATGATACCCCTAGGTAGCTATGATCTCAGGGATCTAAAAATCCTTGAATCGCTGATCGTGAAAGATCAACAAGATCACACATTGTTACAATACCACTTGAAAAAGTAAATCATCAAATTTTATTTATGTCTGATTATTTGAATATCTAAATTCAGAATTTTTTTCAGGTCAAATGAATGCAGTTGACATATTGTAATAATTTTATTTTATAGGACATGAATGTAACTTTTCAAAACATTTATTCCAATTTAAAGGATTTAAAAAAAATTATATTTTCATTAATTAATTCGGCGCTACAACATCTGCTCTAATTCCATTTCCTCTAGTTCCATTTGCTCTATTAACCATTTGCTCTATAGCTCATAGATAACGACGTTTGCTCTATATCTCATCTGCTCTATTTGTCAATTGATTTATGACATAACACGTCATTTGCTCTATAAACATTTTTATGACTGTGATGGTCCAATTGCTCTACTCAACATTTGCTTTATGAGTAAACACGTCATTTGCTTTATAAACATATTTTACAAATATCTAATTGTTTTATTCCTAACCCGGAATAAATAAATATCAAGGAATCTTTGAGACATAGCTTAATCATGTAAATATATTCTACCTCGAAATAAACATGTAAAAAAACTTCATAGCATCAAATATAAAAGAAATACGAATTATATACATTTAAAATCAACTAGGCTTCTTTTTTGTAGGCTTTATAGATGAGGGACGAAGAAATTGAACAGTATTCGTCGGGTTGACTACGGCGCCAGTTTTATAATTTATCTTTACCTCTATTTCGCCATAATATCTGAAACTACGCTACTCTCAATTTGTGATACTATTCCATCCTTCTGAAACAATATTCACACTTAAAAAACCTCATATGAATCCTTTTTATTCAGTCACAACCGTAGTATTTATCTATAGTGACTTGAACAATCTAAAACTCCCTCCAAGCCGACCATGGTAGTTTTCAGAATCTATCCGGTATTCGTGCACCTACCCGTTCCTGCCATATAAACAGTATCCGTACTATCGCTAGCCGGCCTATGTATGTACATCTCTCTGATTCTACAATATAATAACACACGACCTTGAACCGGCACTGGACTATATACTCAAGGGTATTACTTTACTTAGGCAAGGCCTCTTCTTACCGGCCTTAAGTAATCACGCAACCTCATCTCTCATATTTAACCCTTTAATGATATAAGGTTTTAAAATAGGTGACTGCGGTGTTTTTTAAATGGCTTATTTCAGGGTTACTTTACCTGCTGCATCTAAAACTCTTGAAGCTGACGGAATAAAGCTTTACTATTGTGTTCAAGGAGTCTAAACATTTTATGCATCATTTTAGTCCAGTTATACTGTTTCTCCAGAGAATCAATCCCGAACTTCTCCTTATAAAACACTAATCATATTAAAACTATATTTTTACAATTTTACATTTTACAATTCTTCCTACAGTTTCATTATTCCGCCAACTTCCTGGAGATAGTTTTGTTTGTCTGGTATTTATGCAAATTGTGAGACCAAGTTAAATATTAACATTTCCTTGTTCTTTGAGAATTGCTTTCTAGCAGAACCAGGAGCAAGAGGATCTACAACATTTACCCTAGCGTCATGAACTTTTTGATGCACCAGACTATCTTCTCTTAGAAAACCATCACAAATGCACCATAGAGATTAGAATAAATATAGTTTTCACCACATATTAGGTTTTTTTATCCCTCTTATTATTGAGCAGTATATCTGTCATGATGAACTTTGAAGAACTGATTAAAACTGCAATTTGCGAATTTTCCCAAAAAATATCCCGCATTTCATAGTCAAGTTACACTCAGGAATTCCAATAAAAGCTATTCTGTAGTGTTTTTTTAGGTTATAGAGCAAATGATGTGTTTAGTCATAGAGCAAATGAGGTATAGAGCAGATTGAATATAGAGCAAATGATGTATAGGGCAAATGACTTGATAGATCGAATGGAACTAGAGCAAATGGCCATAGAGCAAATGGAAATAGAGCAGATGTTGTAGCGCCATTAATTCTCCTCAACTGCATTCAATGAGTAACAACCTTAAAGACGCTATAGAAAGAAGTAAAATTAGTTTGGAAATAATCCAAATTTGAATCAGATTCAGCCTATACTCCCTTTTATTTTCCCTTTTAAGGTTTTAAACATGTCAAAAATTGTTTGACTTGAATAGAATTAAATCTTGTGATACATTTTCTTGATTATTATATTTAGGAATCCAGGAAATAAATATAAGAAACCTTTGTACTCAGGAATATTGGCAGTAATGTTGTAAAGAATATTTTAAAGAGGTGTCAACTGGTCTTGGATTGAAAAAGAGATTATCAAACTAAGTTTATTTTTAAAAGAGAAAATGAGATGCTTTTCTTTATTAAATTTGGTAATCAAAATTAAGCTCATTAAAATTATTTTTAACTGTCATTACCTACTTCAGAGTACAATTATTCTACTGTGGCAGCATATGAACTTGAATTGACGAGGATATCAAAGGACTTTAAGCTTGGTTTAAGTAAATGTCTGCACCCCTGTAGGAAAAGCATCTTGAATGTGGAACTGCTCTACAGTGAAAAATCGGTTTGTTACTTAAATTTGTTCAACTAGCTATTTTTTTTCATATGAGAAGCTTTTATTATTTTTCTTCTAGAAATCTTCAAAGAGGTATCTGATAATCAGGAAACCCAGAAATATTCAGGTTCTGAAGAATGAGTACATCTACAAAATCTGGGAGTTTACTGCGGAGTTTGGAGGCTGGGTTGGAGTACTTTTTGGATTCTGCCTGCTGGATATTTTCAATTTCGTCACAAAAAGTATTATCCTTTTTGTGGGAAAATATTATGCATAACTACCATGCTTGGCATTCTACATTTAGCTTCTTACATATAGCGTCTTACATTTTACCTTTTACTGTGATTTGGCAAACAATGCTTTAAATTTCTTGATGTATGTTTTTATTTAATAAAAAATAATAAAATAATTTCTGACTCAATATGATTTCTTTAGCATAATTATTTAACCCTATACAGGGAGGGGTATCTGAAACTAAAGTGTGCATCAGACTAGTATTTTTGGGCTTTTAATTGGTGAAAAAAGTCATTAAAGACGACCAAGGCTGCTGCTTTATCCCAATGTCCCAGGGAACTCCAAAATCCATACCAATATTGGAGAAGAAGTCTTTTTTCCTGTTTGAAGAGTACTAGTTGGAGAAATGGCAGAGGAACAAACAATGTTTAAAAAATCACAAAATTTAATTCTAGTTATAATAAATGTAAAGTAAATGTATTTGATTTCTCCTAAAGGTAAAGAAAAATGAATTAAATTCAATGAAAGACCATTTGAATATTTTTCCATAATATTAGATTTCCCGAGTAGAATCTGATACCCTCAGGATTTGAGGAGAGCCTGATTCATTGTCTTAACGATCTAAAAAGACTTCCTTCTTTAGTACTAATTGGGAGTCCGGCAGGCGCCTGTTTTTGGGGTCTTGCTAGTCTTTTTCAGACTCAAATCAGAGTCTTGGGTTCTATGCGGGTTGTAATTTATCCATAATGTAACCATAAACTTTAAAAATAACGACAAGAATGTAAAAAGATTTTGAGTTTCAGGCAAAGTTTTAATTCCCCCTAGTTCTAAAGTAATTTTCTTTTTTTCTAGACTAAAGATGTACCCCTATGTAGATAATAATACATTGCTTTGTCAAACATGGAATCAAGTTTTATCACAGTTTTCAAAACTACGCATTAATCCTTCTAAAACCACAAGTATGTAAGTTTATTCACCCTTTTCCATATTAACAATTTTAGCTCTTAATTGTTGTTTAATTTAAAAAGTGGCTAATTGTTCCAATTTTTTGGTTATTTTTCCGTTCAAATTGGCGCATTTTCAAAAAATGATATATGTCTTAATTTATTCCAAGATAATTTTTCAAATTTTTGTGTGAATAAATCTTCTCTGGGTCAAGTGAGTTGCTATACAAAATTTGGGCCTGAAAGGTTTTGAGGTTTAATTGGTTCAAACACCCAGACAAGCAAAGCATATATATAATATGCAGAGGAAATATATATCCTGTTTCAGTGTATAAGGATATTTATAGAATCCAGCCAATATAGGGCCCAAGCTTCCTTGGAAATCCCTGTCCTGGGATTCCAGAAACTAGGGTTTAAGGATCTGCACAAGATGGTCAGGGAAGGATGATAGAGAACTTAGTCGTGTACGAACTGGCGTGAGCAGAGGTGGAGCAGATCATAATGACCAAGATCTGCAGCTGTATATACGTTTTTACTGTTTGATATCCATTTTCTTTCCTTTATTTAAAGTATCTTTTTTGTGTTTACTCGTTATATTTAATAGCTTCGTGAACAGTGTGGTAAAATGCAATTTAGACAAATACTTTTTTATCTAACTTTTAGAATATAACATTAGAATATAATACTACTAAAATTTTGTTCAGCTAAAAATGTCGAGTTGAACAAAAACAATATAGAAGTAGTCATTATGTTTATTGGGACACCGGCCCTATAAAGATTAAAAAAATAGGACTGTTTAAATTATTTATTTAATACAATAGTTTACAACAGGTATCCATTTTTAAAGTAGAAGTTTAGTCCATATGCCCAGTAAACGATTGAGAAGAGAAGAAAAAATATAGGCAGAATCACTTTAGCTGAAATATATCAAACACAAAAAATAGATAAAAAATTCATTGTTTTATTCTTCTGAGATTCCAAAAAAATCCAATTGACTAGACTTAAAAATTAACTTTTTATAGTTTTTCTTTGGCATTTTTTGTTTAATACTGAAAAGGAGGAATGATATATACTTTGGAGAAAAAAACTCAGCGGGAGCGGTTGAACGAGCGGTTGAGATCTAGCCTAGACTCTACGCAGTTCAGAATAAGAAATTAATAAGAAATTTACAATTTGTTCAACCGCTATATCGAACTTTCTCGTTCACATTTTCAAAAAATGAAATATAATTTTTCCTAAATAACGTTTTTGCTTTTAACCGCTGGTTTTCAGATTTTTAGCAGCTTTTTTACTTTCAACTGCTCGTTTAATGATTTGTCAGCAACTTTTTAACTTTCAAATGTTTTCAGATTTTCAGCAACTTTTTTGATTTCAACCGCTGGTTTAAAGATTTTTCAGCCACTTTTTTGCTTACAACCGCCGGTTTTAACATATTCAGCAACTTTTTTGCTTTTAACCGCTGGTTTAAAGATTTGTCAGCAACTTTTTAACTTTCAAATGTTTTCAGATTTTCAGCAACTTTTTTGATTTCAACCGCTGGTTTAAAGATTTTTAAGCAACTTTTTTGCTTTCAAATTTTTTCAGATTTTTCAGCAAATTTTTTTATTTCAACCGCTGGATTAAAGATTTTTCAGCACTTTTTTTTCTTAGAACCGCCGTTTTTCAGATTTTTCAGCAACTTTTTTACTTTCAACCACTTGTTTTAAGATTTTTCAGCAACTTTTTGCTTACAACCGTTTTCAGATATTTCAGCAACTTTTTTGCTTTCAACCGCTGGTTTTCAGATTTTCAGCAACTTTTTTGCAAAAAAGTTGTTAAAAAATTTTAAAACCAGTTGTTAAAAGAAAACATTTTTTATGAAAAACTGTTTTCCAGTGGCTAAAGCAACCCAGCGGTTGAAAGCAAAAAAGTTGCTGAAAAATCTAAAAACCAGCGGTTTAAAGAAAAAAGGTGCTGAAAAATCTTAAAACCAGTTGTTAAAAGAAAAAAATTTATGGAAAACTGTTTTCCAGTGGTTAAAATAACCTAGCGATTGAAAGCACAAAAGTTTCTGAAAAATCTTAAACCCAGCAGTTGAAAGCAAAAAGTTGTTAAAAATCTTAAAACTAGTTGTTAAAAGAAAATTTTTTTATGAAAAATTGTTTTCCTGCGGTCAAAGCAAACCAGCTGTTGAAATCAAAAAGTTGCTGAAAAATATTAAACCCAGCCGTTGAAAGCAAAAAGTTGTTAAAAAATCTTAAAACCAGTTGTGAAAAGAAAACATTTTTTATGAAAAACTGTTTTCCAGTGGTTAAACNAAAACCAGTTGTGAAAAGAAAACATTTTTTATGAAAAACTGTTTTCCAGTGGTTAAACAACCCAGCGGTTGAAAGCAAAAAGGTTGCTGAAAAATCTTAAACCCAGCGGTTGAAAGCCAAAAAGTTGTTAAAAAAATCTTAAAACCAGTTGTTAAAAGAAAACATTTTTTATAAAAAACTGTTTTCTAGTGGTTAAAGCAACCCAGCGGTTGAAAGCAAAAAAGGTGCTGAAAAATCTTAAACCCAGCGGTTGAAAGCAAAAAAGTTGCCGAAAAATGTTTAAACCAGTGGTGGAAAGAAAACGTCTTTCGTGAAAAATTATTTTCCATGGTGGTTAAAAGCAATCCAGTGCAAGTAGTTAAAAGGAAAAAAGTTGCTGAAAAATCTTTAACCCAGCGGTTAAAAGCAAAAATTGTGTTTAACTATTAAAAAAGTTTTAAAAAGTGAATATAAATATGAAAGAAAAAAGCACGAATTTATTGATTGCACAAATTTTAAATTTGAGAAAAAAGGCGTATTTCTTATTCTGAACTGCATAGAGTCTAGGCTAGATCTTAACCGCTCATTCAACCGCTCCCGCTGAGGTTTTTTCTCCAAAGTATATATCATTCTAAAAGGAGGTACCATGTTTTTATGTATTTTTTTTTAAAGCAGGAAGTCAAATCTTTTATACAACAAGATAAGTTTTTTATGCCATATTTTATATATTACCCCAACTGTTTCCCAATTTTAAACAAACAAGACACTTGGAAGCTTTTGGAATTTATAATTTTTCTGATGGTGTAGAAATCCACCCCTGGCGAAAGTTCAGTCCCCATTATGATAGTTACATAGAAAATATGATATGAATACTAAATAAAAAGAGGAACTGTTAACTTCAAATAATGCAATTCTGTACAAAATATTGTATTAATCTTTTTTGAAAAAAATGTTCCTAAATCTTTACTGTTTTATAAATTGATGGTTATTAAGATGGCTTCTCTTTTATTATCTTTATGCAAGGAATGTTTGGCTGAAACCCTAATAAACAAAAACCTGCTGTATCTCCTAGCTTAAGTTGAAATTCAGGATCTCTCAGAAAATTTTGATTTATTTCTTCATTTTCTTGAACCCAGTGGCTTTTGTACATCATCTGTTTCTAAAGATTGTTTTTTTTTTTGTCAAAAACTTAAATTTTTTAATCCCTATAAAGTTTTAGTCTGATACTATTTAAGTTTTATCCTTTGATTTATCAAAGTTCTACAGCTACTACATTGGGTTGCAAAGATATAATAATATAATTTTTTTTCACAACATAAATGTGGCCCATTGATTACGATTTACGATACACAAAAAAATGGGTGAAAACTATGAAAAACTTTAGTACATGGGTAAATTTTTCAATTGAGTTTATCAAAATTGTACTACCTTAGATTTATTTTTAGGGATTTGATTAACTCTCTGATTCTGACTGGTTTCTTCTTGTCTCTTACTGTCCATATATGTATGCAAGAGAACCTTAAAATTATATTTAAAATTTAATCTGAGGGCTGATGAGTATCAATACTTTATCTCTGTATCTAATGTGAGAAATTTTAAATTGCTTGACACTCAATTCTGACATTTTTAAAGTCGTTGTTCCAAATGCAATTTAAAATTTTTTTACAACATTCATTCCCCTTACCTCCCCCCCCTTTCAAGCCACCTTTGCAGATGTATGACATAAATGATAAATTTATGAATATAGGTTGCATACCCACCTCGAAAAATGGGATCATCTGAGCAAATATTAGCCAGATATCAATCATTTTAACATATGCTGTAGAAGGTAGAGAACCTAAGAAAGAAAATAATTAAATAGGGTTTTCGACACAACTTCACAATTCACAATTCTGCAAAAACATCTTGGGACCTAATTATTTTATTATTATATTTTTATGTTAGCTATAGCTGGCCAAACGGCTGGACTACATTGTTTGTTTTTAGAAAGAACCCAAAGGACTCCCAGGAGGTTTATAGGTGAAAGTTATTTTTGAAATTCTAAAGGCAACCCTTCAGCTAAAACCATAATTAATTAGCAAAACCATAATAATCAAAAATGACAAAAACTATAGGATTTTTTCTGCCATGATGAAAATATTGCTAAGTTCAATGAAAGCAAACTATGACAGAGTAAAATGTTGGAATTTTAGATTTTGTTGGACATTTTTTAAAAACAAACCAAAATGATTATTGATTAACAACCCTACATATGTTGACATAGTTTAAAAAACGCACCTGAGACACTGATAAACAGTGTAGTTAGGACAAGCAGAGCTGTTAGGTTGACTGTAACAACAGCTTCAAAGAAGAAGGGTTTGAAGAAGTTTGTTATGTAAACAATGATAATAAGGAGGAAGGAAGGAAGATAGGTTGTTAGAATATCATTAATTATTCTTCTTTGAAGTATTATCACTACATTTATTCCCTCATCAGGCCTTGCTGAAAAATAATAATTTTATCTATTGAGACATACATAGTGTCTTTGAATAAAAGCTGTTTAGCCCTAACGTCGCTTTATTGTACTTAAAAGTAGTTCTTGTGGATCGATGAAAAATTTTGCTCTAAAAATGTGCCTAATGTTTGTAAATGTGCTTGGTGCTCAAAGCAATCAAAAATACTTACATTCTAGATTCATGATTAAATTTATTCAATATTTCAACAAAACAATAACATCTTATATAAAGATACATAAAATAAAAGGGTATTTTAACATTTTTTCTTCAAAATCTGTAAAAAAAGAGATCGAGCACATTATAGAATATGAAACCTACTCTTAATGATTTAAACGGCATTTTAAAGTAAAATGTTTTCTCAAAGACTTCCCCTTGTACACACATTGTATCGCATAACACATTTTTTTAAAGAGACAACCTATTATTATTTTCTTGGGCCTTGTACATCATATTCACTGTTCATTTAGCACACTTTCTTGTATTTCCACGTATATGTACTGTACAACTTGCTCTGGCTAGTTGAAGTTCGACCCGTTGCTCGTGAGGCCAACAGTAAAATATGTTTAAACAGCAAATAAAGAACTGAGTACTTGCCACAAACTCAAATTTTAAAATTTCTATATTGTAACTCCTGAATCCTGATGGTGTTAACTTTCAATATTTCAAACCTAAATTAGTTTATTCAAAGTTTAAAGCTGGAAATATCAAAGATTTACATCAGGTTGCAAAGCGCTCCCATCTAAACAGTCAGGAGAAATTCCTCCCCCTGATTATTATTTCTATATCTAATGTTTGGAGTGAAAGAAATGCATTAGAGTATTTAGTTTATTTACGTATTTTTACTTTTGTTAATGTAATCCAGGTTCCAGGATAGAACTATATATTGAGTTAGTTCTGTTCTCCCTTCCATCTCAATATTTTCAGGGGTTAGCGTCATAACACCTTGTTCCAGATCTCTCACACTCAGAACAACCTGGCATCTCTGTAATCAATTAAAATATAATAACATATCATAGAGTATTTTTAATTTTCTAGGATAATCTAAGTAAAATGTAGAGTTTTCAATTTGGTTCAGAAATGGCCCCGTAGCATTTCTTTAAGCTCTTAAATTACAAAAGTTTTTTAATGGTTTATGATGAACCGAAAAATTGCATTATATTTTGTTAAGAAGCTATGTATGTTTGCCACAATCAATGCACTTCCTTCATAGTCTTTTCATTCGTGAGTTCTCAAAACTATTGGGATAAGAAACTGTTCAGAAATCAGAACTTTGGTATGGAGTAAATTTAATCATCAACGTTTGATCTTGATATCCAATGTGGGCACTTTTATTATCGAAGATCAATGTTTGATTTCTCAATTAAAGCTATCTTCGCAGGATATAACCATCTCAGGATATCATGGTTTGCAAAAGATGGGGATCTCGATCCCGAGATTTACAACACACAAGTTCTGCCTTTAAGGCAAATAATAATTTCAGGCAACATACCTGGCTGTCAAATGGATACATCTGAAGTTGGTATTCACATTTAAAAGATTTTGTATATATCTCTTGAAATTCCAGAATATTCTCATATCCTGGACAAAATATCAACAATTTTTTGTATCTCTATATATAAAGTTTGTATTATGTTTGTCTGTCTGATCATAATTCACCGTACCCAAACCCTTAGCCAATTTGGCTCCAACTTTTGACTTTAAAAGAGAAAGTTTAGATTTCCAACCATAGCTTGGTTCTTTAAATTTAATAGATAATATTTAAACAATTTAACTATGTTAGAGTAAATTTTGTTAACCTGAAAATATATTAATTTCCTCAACTACATCCGGAGTGCTTCGGACGTAATTGCTATCTCTTCTTACAGTAACTTTGCTTTCCAGACTTTTACTAAAAATAAATTAAATATTTTACTGAAAGGGACTTTAGACATAATTTCAAGGTATGTATCTATAACATAGGGCTGCCACTTTAGTAATTGTAAATTGGTGATACAGGCCATACTAGGTCCACAAAGGTTGGCCTGGCTCAGATTTTCAAATGTATGCCAGTTATGTGTGCTATAGTGAACCCAGACAAGGTTTCTCCCATGTGTATATAGTATCATACAGTTCATTGCTCCCAAATGCAATCCAATAAAAAAGTCAGTATTCCAGATCGAGTCCAAAAGGGTATTGAACCCTGAGTATGTTTGCAGCCTTAATACATAACAGGCTAGGCTGGCAAGGGTAATGAACCCCTTTTCTCATCTAGAGAAATCAAGTGGATACAGTTTAAAGGACAGTTTAGAAGGCAGCTATGGTAAGAGCTATACTGGAGAAAGAAGTGAAAAGGCATTTATCTAGCCGAGAAAGAAAGAAGTATTGTTTACCATCTTATCCTTGGGATCCCCCAAGACATGACAGTTAGCATTAAGTATCTGATCAGAAGAGTCGAATGGAATATCCGCCCAGGCGAATATACTGTGTATTTAGAGAAAGTTTAGTTAATTCAACACTAATTGTTTTTATGTTTATAATGAAAATATAGTTTGTGTGCAACCATGCTTCATTATTCCACTCAATCTTGGCTTATTTTCTACTGAGTTCTTTCAAGTCTATACTATGTGACCACTGCCCATCAACCTTGATCTGAAGCTTTTTAAGATCAATACCCGCATAGAACAAACGACCCTGTTTTAGAGTCTGAAAACGACCCGCACGACCCCAAAAACGGGCGCCGGCCCGACTCTGTTTTAGTACTAATAAAAGAGGCGTTTTTAGACCAAAAAGACCCTGAATCCGTCTCTCCTCAAAACGGATGGGTGTCGGTTT